CGGGCAGGACGAGCCGGGCGGCGCCTCAGCCTCTGCCTCCTTCTCCGCCTCCTTCTCCGCCTCCTCCGTCAGCCTCCCCGCCGGAATCTTCCAGCGCTCTGGAGCTTCTTTGGGGGTGGGGTGGGGGGTTTCCTCTTCTCCCCTCCCGCCCCCTTCCTCTCGGAGGGAGGTCTCGGGTGACGGAGCCCCGGCGAAGGCGGCCGGGAAGGAGGTTTTCCCTTTCCTCTCCTTTCCTTTCCGCGCTCCGGCGGAGGGAGACGAAAAGGGGAAGGGGCTTGGTGGGAGGGGAGAGGGAGGGCGCCGGAGGAGGGGAGCCCCAGGGTCTCTCGAAAGCCCGGCCGCTGCGGTGCAGAAGGGGGGCGGGGGCGGGGGAGGAGAAAGAAGCAGCGGCGTGTCTCTGGGCATGGGCAGAGCGCTCCTCCCTCTCCATGCTGGCGTTCAGGTCTAAGACCAGTCGGGGCGGTGGAGGGGTTGAAGGGGAACGACGAGGGCGCCAGTTCCCACCTGAAGGGGACAGTAGGTGCCTGCTCTCAGCCTGTCCTACCCACCAGGGTTGTTGGGAAGGTTCCTTGGGGAAGGGGAAGAGCCTTTTAGTCTGTCCCCTCCCCCCCCAGAGCCCTTTAGGGGAAAAGGGTTATGAAACCATGAAAGTGCCTCTGAAACAAGCCTCCTGGACTTCCATCATCCTACCTGCCTCTGGTTTTGTCCTTGCTGTTTATTTCTACCCAGCGTCTCCTCCTATCAGCACAAGGTGGTCTCCGTGGCTCTCCTCCTTCGCCCATGATGCCCATCCCCCACCCCCCTGGGACAGGCCCCAGTTTCCCCCAGCGCGCGTCTGTGGTTCACTCTGTACACCAGAATCTTCCTCCTCTCTCCCAGTTGGGCTAAAGGTACATAATAAGCATCTGACAACCGCAGAGTTGGAAGAGGGACCCTGTGGGTCATCCAGTCCAGCCCCGGTCAAGGAAGCCCGGGGAAGCGGGGAATTTACTCCCAACCTCTGTCTCCACAGCTACAGACCTAGCCCCATGAGCTACCCAGCAGTTCTACATGAGGCCACACCAATCGGGGGACACCCTGGTTATGCCCACGGGGCACAAGCTACCACGTAGTTCTCCCACGCAAGATGGACGCCTTTGTGCAGGAGAGTTTCCCGCTCCCTGGCCGGTGCCTCCTTCTTGGCGAGTAAGTAGCCCGTCTCCAGTCACCTTGACCCAACACTCAGCATCTACCAGCTCTCCTTCCAAATTATGCTCAGGTAGGTGTGAAGGGTTTTTGAGCATCCTGGCCCTTTTCTGTACTCCTGCTTGTGGGAAGAGTGCCCTGCTGAGACCTGCTTTTGTTCCCCCCGCGGAACACCATAGCAGCAAAATTAAGGCTTCGGCGAGAGTCCCCGCTGCTTTTTGCCTTTTCAGGCAGAGTGCCTTTGATTCCGAGAAAATGAACAGCACTCTCCTTTCGGGAAAATGTGCAAAGCAGAAAAGGTAGGGGTGTGAACTCTGTGTTACTTCTGTAATTGTTTCCCCAGATTCCGGAGGCAGCTTTCCTTACCACTTGCTGCTGTGATGCAAAAGAAGGTGATTCAGGACTAATTTCACACCAGCCCCCCTAGAAACCAACAAGGTTTGCCATTGGGGATCTAGCCCCCCCTCTCCAGCTGCATCTGGGAGGCAGCATCTGCTCACCCCTGATCTACAGGGACAGACGGTGGCTCTCCAAGTACCTGGATTGGAAAGGGGTTTCTTTTCCAGCCCTATCCACAGAGGTCAGAAATCGAACTCGAGACCCTTCGCACACAGAGCAGGTGCTCTATGATGGGGTTACTCTCTGGGCCCAAAGAAGGTCAAGGAAACCTTAATAATAGCCGCGATCAGGACCATTCTGGCTTACGGCAGCCCTTTGCAGAGTTTTCCAGGTAGAAAGTACTCCGAAGCTGTTTCCCCTCCCCTTCTTCTGGGGTGTAGAGTTTTCCAGGTAGAAAGTACTCCGAAGCCGTTTCCCCTCCCCTTCTTCCGGGGGGTAGCCCTGGGACTGCGCAGCTTGCTCAAGGCCACCCAGGCTGGCTCTTCTCCCAGGAAACAAAGTAGTGAAACGAATTCCTGACCTCTGGCTCCATAGCTGGAGACCTCAACCACTGAGCTGTTCAGTCACCTCCGTACCCGTGTTCCCTTTAAATCCTGGACCAAGGATGTAGCAAAGTGGAGATCCATATATGGACCAAGAACTTCAGTTAAAGAAGGGGGGAAAAAATCCACACCTTCCTTTCCATTCATCCTTTGAACCGATCACGGGTTGAGCTTTCACCCTTTCTGATAGGGGGGGGGGG